AGAACTGGAGGGAAGTTTCCTGAAACTCCACCAATAATGCAGGTTGGAAGGGAAGGTATCGCCGATGAAGAGATGATGAAAAATTACTGAGATGAAGACGAATCCGACGGGGCGTCGGAAGCAAGAGAGACGTCGGCGACCATGGCGTAGGAGGAAATCCGAACCGCTTCGCGGAAGGAGGAATCCAGTTGGCGTTAGAGATCCTGAGGGAGAAGACGACATGCCATCCTCTAGAGCCACTTTCTAGAGAGAGATGAGCATGGCGAAATGATAGTCGAGGGCTAATTTTCAGCTCGAGGTGCTGATCAGCGTCGTCGAGGGGTGCCTGATTTTCAGCGTCGAGGTGCTGATTTCAGCGTCGAGGTGCTGTATTTTGAAAGGGAAGAGGAGAAATATGACGTGAGCGATTGAATGCTCGGGTGTATAGGAACTCTACTACAGGTAGGAAAGGACCCTGGGATCACTATTTTGCATGGTACGCACCTTCATCTTCGAGAATGAGAGTTATGGAGATGTGAACCCGACAGGTATCTACGTGAGTATCTTGGCTTAGCAACGAAGGTGGCGAAGTAATCTGTCCCTATACACACCGTGCTGGAAGTGTCCTTGAGTGAATAGGCACAGATCCTGGTTAGGGGGAGGCTTGCAGGGTCCAAGACTGTGGACAGATATTACACTCTAATTGGGTAGCATGTGATACCTTTCGCTGTGTTGGCAACCTGGGTGAGTGACAAACGTGCAGAAGCTTGACGCTCACCAGTCTTGATCGTTGACACAAAGAGAGCGATTGTGTCTAGATCGAGGTCGGTTGTTGGAGGGTTTGAGAAAGGGGCAATTGATCAAATATATTGTTATGTAGCTTCCTTAGAGTACTCGTTGCTTGAGCTAGGAGAAGGTTCTGTTACTAACCATGTTTACTGTCCGTTGTGGGGGTAATGTATTTGGTGTTCAAAGCCTGCGCAGCTTTTTTTTTAGTCTGGAAAGTCTGCGAAGTGTCCTACTTCTGGTATCCAAACTTTCCCTATGAATTTTTGGTAATGCCCTTTGGATTGACTAACGCTCCTGCAACATTTCAATCCTTGATGAATCGGGTATTCAAGCAGCGCCATAGGAAGTTCGTCCTAGTCTTTTTCGATGATATCCTGGTGTACAACAAGACTGTAGAGGAGCACTGGGAGCATTTGAGTGGTATTGGAAGTGCTTCAGGAGCACCAGTTGAAAGCCAACCTAAAGAAGTGCAGTTTTGCTCAGGCAAGTGTGGAATACTTGGAACATGTGGTATCTCAAGAAAGAGTAGCAGCGGATCAAACTAAAATTGAGGCAATGCAGAAATGGCCGCTACGTAGGAACCTCAGAGAATTGAGGGGTTTTCTAGGATTGACTGGATACTATAGGAAGTTCGTGAAGGGATGCAGTACCATTGCCCGGCCTTTGACTGAGTAGCTGAAGAAGGATATTTTTTGTTGGGGAGTGGCGGCCACCCAGGCATTCGAGAGGTTGAAAGAGGCCATGACGACGGTCCCTATTCTAGCTCTTCCAGACTTTGATCAGGCTTTTGTAGTAGAGACAGATGCCTCAGGATATGGGCTGGGGGCGGTGTTGCAGAATCACAGGCCAGTAGCGTACTTCAGTCAAGTGCTTTCAGCCAGAGCTAGATTGAAGTCAGTGTATGAAAGAGAGCTAATGGCCATTGTTTTGGCAATCCAAAAGTGGCGGCAATATCTCTTGGGAAGACATTTCATTGTACGGACTGATTAGAGGAGCTTGAAGTATTTGTTAGAGCAAAGGATGGTGACCGAAGAACATCAGAGGTGGTTATCCAAACTATTAGGCTATGATTTTGAGATCCAATATAAGCCTGGTTTGGAGAATAAGGCGGCCGATGCTTTATCCAGATGCGTTGGGGAGATTCAAAAGTTGGTTGTGTCAGTGCCATTGATAGTAGACTGGGAGGCCATCAAAGAAGAAAGTATGCTGAACGAGGAGCTGAGGAAGATCAGGGAGGATCTGGAGAAAGACAGGAGTAGTCATCCTGATTACTACATGGAAGGGGGGAGACTATTGTATCAGGGGAGGTTCGTGATGCCACGAACTTCCATACACATTCCCCATCTGTTGCAGGAATTTCATGGCAGCTCAGTTGGAGGTCACTCAAGAGTTCAGAAGATATACCGGAGGCTGGCAACATAACTTTATTGGAAGGGGATGCATAAATATTTGGAGGAGATGGTGGCGGGTTATGAGGTCTGCCAAAGAAACAAATACATGGACATGGCTCCAGGAGGTTTACTACAACCACTGGCACTTCCAAACAGAGTTTGGGAGGAAGTGTCCATGGATTTCATCGTTGGCTTACCCAGGTCAGAAGGATTCACGGTGATACTGGTAGTGGTGGACCGGCTGAACAAATATGCACACTTCATTCCACTCAGACACCCCTACAGTGCAGTGACAGTAGCTTCAGCATTCATCAGGGAAGTGATCAGACTGCACGGAGTACCATAGGCGATCGTATCAGATAGGGACAAGGTGTTCCTCAGCCATTTCTGGAGGGAGTTATTTAGACTGCAGGGAACAGTGCTCAAGAGGAGCACATCCTACCACCCACAGACGGATGGCCAGACAGAAGTAATAAACAGGAGCTTGGAGACGTATCTAAGATGCTTTGTTTCAGAGACACCAAAGCTATAGGCAAAGTGGCTATCCTGGGCTGAGTACTGGTACAACACGTCATTTCACTCGGCTTCACAAATGACTCCATTCAAGGTGTTGTATGGACGGGATCCCCCACACTTGGTACACTTTGGGAGCAGTAGTACCCCTGTTTCGTCGGTAGAGGAGTACTTGGAGGAGAGGGACCGAGTGCTAGAAGAGTTAAAGAGGCATTTGCTGAGGGCGCAGCAAATCATGAAGAAGCAAGCAGATGGGCATAGGAAAGATATCCAGTTTGAGGCAGAAGATAAGGTGTTCTTGAAGCTCCGTCCATACAGGCAGAAGACAGTCGCCAACAGGAGGAATGAAAAGCTGGCTCCAAGGTACTTTGGTCCTTATGAAGTGATGGAAAATATTGGGGCAGTAGCATATCGACTGAAATCACCCCCATCGGCGACTATACACCCGGTTTTTCATGTCTCACAGTTGAGAAAGGCCATTGGTGATCACATCACCATTCCCGAGCTGCCGACCACACTTACGGAGGATTTAGAGGTGATCATGGAACCGTTGGAGCTGAAGGGTGTTTGCCAAAAAGAAGATAAAACTAAGGAATTGTTGATCCAGTGGAAGAACCTTCCTGACTACGAGGCCACGTGGGAGCCATACGAGAGGATGAAACATCAGTTTCATGATTTTTCACCTTGAGGACAAGGTGATTCTTTGGGAGGGCGGTAATGTTACGCCTGGACCGGTTCTACGCCCGGCGGTCCAAAGCCGGGCGGAACCTGTTCGCAAAAACGGCGGAAGAAGAGGCGGGCTAGGAGGATTTTGAGCGTTTGGTTGGAGGGAATTTTTGAATGAGGAGGGTGTTTATGTAATTTGTATCTTTCCTTTTGCTTTAATTAGGGAGATGGGGGGAAATTAGGGTTATCTTGAATTTGAGTTTTCTCTTTGAGATCTAGGTTTTGTTTTGGGCTCTTGGCTTCGCCGGAGACTTTGGAGAGTACGTTCTTCCTCTCGAATTGAAGAACAAATTATATTTTTGCAATTTTATTCGTCTACTAATAAAATACTAGTCTTTGCTTGCGTTGGATCTCAGTTTTCTCGCGTTTCCTCACTGTTTTCCTGTGTAAAGCTGCTGTCCACTGCTGGAGACAGCAGTTTTCCCCTGGTTCCGCTTCAGTTTTGGCTAGGAATTACTTGATTTCAAGTATTTCCTATCATAACTAGAACTAAAGCTTTGTTTTGATCTTTCACGTATCTAAGAAGCTTCAAATCATCAGTGGTGTACTACTTAACTTCGGTACTCTTTTTTTTTTTTTTTCTTAAGAGGCTAAATCATGTGTACTCTCCCTTGATGCCGAAAAACAGCCAACTATACATTTTCCAAGACTGCACCATTTGATTCATCTTTCATATTACTATTAAAAAAAATTGATAAAATTTTCTTCAGCCCCTCCATGTATAAAATCCATATCTTGTTTTTTTTTTTTTTCAGCGTTACCAATGGACCATAGTTTTTTTTGTAGACAGTAGAATCTACTCATAAAATGCTAATGAACTGTGCAATAACTCCCGGAACAAATAAAAAAGCACCATTGCTAGTCCCAAGCTAGGATGAGAAAAGTTGGAGTTTGTTGTCAGGTTGACAAATAATTTTAAAAACTTGGCCCAAGTTTTATGAGATGAACAAAAAAGATAATTTCAATTGGGATAAGGCCAATAATGATGATGACAAGTCTGTCAAATACAAATCTGGAACATAAGTACATGTATATATTATGAGTTGAGTACAAAACTACCAACTAGGGCAATGCGGTAATACCTTCTCTTCTATGGATTGAATGGTGCCGAGTCTAACCAGTACTTCATCTACCCGTAAACCTTCTTTTGGTACTCCATCTACGTATGTAAAGAAAAAAAATTACTTCAAAAAATCACATAATAAAGTAAAACTCTACCAAACTTGCTCACCTCACCTGAAAAAGTGGGCGAATCATTTAACTCTTCAGTAAGATGCTCCATAAATAGTCGGCCATAACTGTTCAAGAAAACTACAAAATGAAGCCTCAATTTGCAGATAACAAAGCAATCAGAAGGAGCAAAATTTGTAAACAAACATTTATTTTTATGTATGCTACCATCGGTTCCTTTTCTTGCATGGAAGTTCAACAAACTTTCTAGCTAAGAATAAAGTTTGTTTGCACTAGGAAGCAGGAAGAGTAGTGTCATGGAGGTTCAGCAAACTTTCTTGCGAAGGGCAAGTTAGTTTACCCTTGGAAACAGTGAAGGAGAGGAAAGTGGAATTTTCCTTCAGTTTAAATTCTTAGTTTAATAAAAAAAGAACAGAAGTCTCACTTCCCAATAGTGGAAGTTCAAATGAGGCTATGTCATACTTCCTCAATCTTCCCCTAAAAGAGCAGGATGGTGCAGCGGCACCCATGAGTCAGCCCAATGTGCACTTCTACTCGTATAATGGTAGCCAAAACGACCACGCATCCCCATTCCTCATCCTAGGAAGGTCTAGAATCTACATTAAAAACCTTACAAAAACTCAATGGCACTTGCACACATCCAAAGAGATGGGAGTGAAGTTTGAAAAAGATAACTTAAACTCCCTGTATCCTTTACAGGAATCAACCAGTTTGGTTATATTCAGAAGTTCAAAATTTTAAAATTTAAGCAGGTTAACTGAAAATTCAGCTTAACATTGATAATTTCCACAAAATTTCATGGAATACAAGTAACTGTTTGAAGAATACATGATGTGAATCAAAGTAGGAATTGCGATTAGAAATTAAAATGAAGATTATTAAAAGCTTTGTCAACACAAATTTTATTACCAACAAAATAAGGAATAAATCGTTCTAGATCATTAACTTGCTTAGGAAAAGACTTGCTTTGAAACAATTCATAACATTCAAAAGATAAAAGTAATACTTAAATGCTCGTCACAAAAATCCCGCAATTAATAATAAAGAAGTTCACCTTGAGTACCCTTTCTCTCTCTCTCATCCACTCTTGGGCTTTAGCGAAGAATATGGAACCATGCAAGGATGAAGAGCACCACGACGATGAAGGCGACGAAAGACTTTGTTGCCGGAAAGGTATTCACCGGAGAAGGTGGTGGCGGATGGCGTCCAATGATCGTCCAAGTGTAACCACGTAATTGTCGGTCAAAAATACTTGCGAGGATCGGGACGACTCGCTCCAAATACTCTTCGATTGTAGCGTCGTCTTCAAATCCCACGTCGAAGCAAGGCGAGCGTAGAATATCAATGCTCCCGTCGGCGTGGAAAACTAGTCCCCACTCAAGCTCCGGATCCGCCATTCAACATCGAGGAGGGGCGGGGAGATGGCTAGGGGATGTTGGTTGGATCGTGAGCTAGAGAAGAACAAGAGAAAAATCTGAAGTTGAATTTCAGATTTTGTCTTGGGTTGGAGGGAGATTAATTGCTATGAAACCTCCCAAAATTTGAATTAGGAGGCGCGGTTATTATGGGAGAATTAAGAGGGGCATTAATGGTTGCTTATGTGGCAAGTAGAGAGAGAAAAGATTGAGGGGTGTGGCCGGCCAAGCAAGTAGGAGGGAGAAGGTTGTGGTTAATTAGTGGGGGCCAAGAAATTAAATCAAATCTGATGTGTAAATTTCAGATTTAATTTAAATTTTGGGAAGTTTCCAAAGAGGGGTAAGAGGGGAAGAAATTGAATTTGAATTTCATAAATTAAGCCTCAATTAAGTTCCTTTCCTATTATTGGTGAGACACAAAAGGAAAGTGTTAATGAGGAATTCCTTGATGGAATTCGAAATTCAAATCCAAGGAGGATGATCGGCAGACTGATTCCCGTGACTGGAAAGCTTGGCACGGTGAAGGGGAGACAGCCAATTGGCCTGGGTCGGCTGATAGCACAGCTGGCGGCCAAAACAGGTGGGGAGATCGTCGGCTTGTGTGACAGGAAATGGCTGTATCGGGTGGTAGGGGGGCGGGAAGGCCAGGAGAAACGTGGAGGTGTTCGGGTGAAAGAGATTTCGGGATCTGGCTGCAGGGGAAGAGGCGGCTGAGTGGAGGGATTGGTGGGGGAGGAAGAAACAGTGAACTTACAAGGAAAAACCAAGAGCTCGCCGGAGCGGGCTGTTGGGTATTGTGGCCGGAGCCTCACCTAGGCCTCCTCTCTCTTTTCTCTCAAGCTCTCAAGCAAGAAGACAAAAGGAATTTCAGAAAATTTCATTAATCAAAACATTTGATACCAAGCCCACCTTCTCTTTGTGAGTTAGGAAATTTGGTATTAAATCCAAAAATAAATGTTTATTTAATTAATTATCCTTTAATTGTCGTTAGGAATGGTTAAGGGGAAAATGTCGGGTTTAGCCTTTAGACTTAGGAAATTTGATTTCTAATTGTGACAGGTTTACTTTATAAACTTTCTTAGATTGTGATCGTCAAAGTTTTAGGAGAAGGACTTATGTCAAAGCGACGTACTGTGCTTAATTTGAGGTAGGTGTTCAGAACCAGTTAAATTTATAAGTGCTTCAAATTTCTTATTGCTAAATGTATTTCATGTCTTTATATTTTTTAATAATTAATGTTTTAAATTCAGTAATTTTGCAAGTTTGTCTTTATTTATTTGCATTAACTGTTGAGCATATGAGCCATATGAAAAGACATTTGGGCATGAAATTATATGAATGCTTATGAAAGGAAATTTAATGAAATGAAAAGATTTAAAAGTAATGAAATTTTCATGTTGCATGTTGATCCGTAAGTGTCAATGGTAAAGGAGCTCGTTTGAGCATTGGTAATGGAGGCTCGCATGAGCCATGGTAAAGGATGGTTCTTATGAACCAATGGTAAAGGAAATGGCCACATTTTGACTGCGTACCTGATCAATACGAATAAGGGCACTTCTAGGACGGGTGATAGATATAGCACATTCATTTTGCACCTTGCATTGCATATGAAAAAGAATGAAAGAAAAGAAATGTTTATGAAAAAGAAAAATTACATTATTTGATGAATTGCTTAATGAATTAGTTTCCAATTGAAAATGTTTTTTTATGCATCTTATGAAATTAACTGTATTATGAATTACCTGCTGAGCGTTAGCTCATTCCTCGTTTTGGAAATATTTTTTCAGGAGAGAAATAATGGTTGCACGACGACCTTACACTTATCGTCGTAGGGGACCTCAGGAGGAAGAAAGGTTCCTTTTTGTGTTTTCAGTTTGAGTCTTTGTATTTGTTTCAGTGTAGTTCGTGAGTTTGAGATTTATGTAATTGTGAAAGTTTACGTTATGATGATGAATTTGAAAGTTTTATTGGTTATGAGACAGTTGATCATTTTATAACATTTGAGTTTGAAGTTTATTAGTGGCTCTTTCATGTATTTTGGGATGATATTTATGTTATAACCTTAAGTTTTAAATGAAAATATGTTATGTATTATGCTCTTTCGTACGATCATCTGTTCCTGCCCCGATATAATCGGGCTAGCCGGGCCGGGTCGTGACAAGAGTGGTATGTATTTTCGACCGACAATTTCGTGGTTACACTTGGACGATCATTGGACGCCATCCGCCACCACCTTCTCCGGTGAATACCTCTCCGGTAACAAAGTCTTTCGTCGCCTTCATCGTAGTGGTGATCCTCATCCTCACATGGTTCTTTCTCCTCCGCTAAAGCCCCAGAGCGAACGAGAGAGAGAGAAAAGGGTACTCAAGGTGAACTTCTTTATTATTAATTGTGGGATTTTTGTGACGAGCATTTAAGTATTTCTTTTTATCTTTGAATATTATGAATTGTTTGGTTATCTCAAAGCAAGTCTTCGCCTAAGCAAGTTAATGACCTAGAACGATTTACTCCTTTATTTTGTTGGTGATAAAATTTGTTTTGACAAAGCTTTGAATAATTCTCATTTTTTATTTCCAATCGCAATTCCTACATTGATAAAATTTGTTTTGACAAAGCATGACTCGATTGGTGTAGTTGTAGACCGTTTTTCTAAGATGGCCCATTTCCTCCCTTGCACTAAGACTTTTGATGCCTCCCGCATTGCTAAACTCTATTTTGATGAGATTATTAGACTCCATGGTTTACCCAAGACCATCGTTTCCGATAGGGATGTCAAGTTTACTAGTTACTTTTGGAAAATTTTATGGCACAAAATGGGCACAAAACTCCAGTACTCCACAGCCTTCCACCCCAAACCGATGGACAAGCAGAAGTGGTTAATAGAAGTTTAGGAAATCTTCTAAGGACTTTAGTAGGGGAAAATATACGAGATTGAGATTCCAAGCTTCCTATTGCTGAATTTTCTTACAATAACTCCGTCAATAGAACCACTGGTCTGAGACCTGCTGAAATCGTGTATGGATACCTACCCCGATAACCCATAGACTTGCTTCCCATGAGTCCTAGAGTTAGATTGTCTGAGTTAGCATCTGCATTTGCATCCCACATATAGGAATTACATAAAGAAATAAAAATGAAAATTGAACAAAGCAACGCCAATTACAAATTAATTGCTGATCAAAAGAAAAGGTTTAAAGAATTCGAGGTCGGAGACTTTGTGATGGTGCGAATCCGTTCGGAGCGTTTTCCTCCCGGATCCGCGAAGAAATTGCATGCGAGAAGCGCCGGACCGTTCAAAATCATTTCTAAGATAAATAGTAACGCCTACGTGCTGGACCTCCCCGAAGGTTTTAACATCAATCCTACTTTTAATATAGAAGATTTAGTAGCCTTCGAGGGACCAGAGTTTAACCCCCACAATCCACTTACAAACGAGCACTGTGTGAACCCACCTGGTGAGATCCCCAGCCCAGCTCCACTTCCCAAATTGCCCCCTTTACCTAATGCGGAGAAAATAGAAACCATACTGGATGATGAGATCATTTCCACGAAAGGAGGACGACGAAGGTACCTAGTACACTGGAAAGGGACACCACCAACGGAGGACACTTGGGTGGATCGAGAGGAGTTACAGATCCTAGACCCAGATCTTTTGGAGTTGTACGAGAGTTCCAGAGCTGCTCACTCGACGG